GAATAATCTTCTTCAAGGAAGTGGTTGGAACACACGGCCGAGTATTTTGTGGGCTTCCAATGTGCACGCTTCAATTGCACAAGTCAACCTACTTCTTTCTTCTCTTTTTTTTCTCCGGGTCATCTGCCCCATAAAAAGGTATCAGATGAAATGCTATTCTTTTTTCTTTGTTGGGAGTGTTGCTACACCCTAAAACAACGCACTTATCAGGCATATCCGTCAAGAAACTTCATCCAGTCCTTGAAGCAAACTTATTGGAAAGCCTTGAACGGACGTCACAAACTGTCCTCCACCGAGACCCATCTTGATAATTCCGTGCCTCAGTCATGTTTTGAAAAAATATGATTTTCTACGACTTTGAAAATTCATAAAAAATCGCGGTTGTAACCAAACACAAAAATTTTTGCGGCATTTTGCTCAGTGCAATAGAAAGATTGAATATGGCCAAAAGAATTTGGGGGTTTATAGGCACTTTAAGCTATAAACTTCAAGAAAAAGGTTCTTAAGTTCTCAAGCGTCCACAACTCTCTGTCGTACTTGACATTAAAAAATTCATTTTTCTTTGGGGGTGTAGATAACTCGATCACAGCATTGCATCCTTGCATTTCCATCTGACCCTGGAATTGATATTAACATACTTGCCATCGACAATCGGGGGTTCTACTTAGTCTGTTACACAGCCGTTCGTGGGGAGGAGTGTTGCGTGACGACCCTAAGAACAGCTGCGTGGCAGACTAGGTTCTACTCAGCTGCAATCTGTAGAAGAAGATTTTTTTTTTGGTTACATGCTCTTGACTGCAATCAGCTTCTTTTGACAGTTCTCACAAACTCTTACACCATGCATTGATCCCAGGAAAGGCCAACGAGTTAAACATTTTTTATTGAAAACTTCATATATTTTTTCGTCTTTTTAACGTGGAGATCATCCAAGAGCTTACTTTTCTTATTAAGGCGCTAGGAACACTGTTTTTATTTTGCTACTCGGACAAGCAATTGAGCAATCACTGATTGAAATGACGCTACACGATCTGTCTCTTATCTATGTTCTTCAGTCTTAAGGTGGAACACAACGTGAAACGAGGAAGCTGTTATTTAAATGGTCTTTTAACCAAACCAAAATTTTCCGTGAGATTTTATAGTATTATATTGATTGACATTTATTCTTTTGGCTTGCTCTTCACTGAAAACAGTACTGAACAAGCTCTTTTGAGACATTTGACGTCACTTCCTCAATGTTAGCAATTAAAGACATACTCTTTGGCATTCACTGAATACACACAACAGAAAGTAATCCATTATTTTCACTTGATGCACTTTTAAGCACTTAAAAGAACTTAGAACAATTTCTTCCGGCATTACTGACATTTGAATCACTACAACAATTCTAAGCCTCGTTCACATGTTAGTTCTAGTCCTCGGATCGAAAGGGATACACAAATACAGGTTACATAGAAAAATAAGCCAATTCTTGCACGCGAGAAGTTCTGAGATATGGCTCATCAAAGTGATATTTTAGAAAAAGTTTATGAGTTCAAATCTGAGATACGTGTCTGGATTCCAAAACGAAAGACGACCGTACGCATTTTAAGAGAATTAGCAGACAAACTAAAGGAACATCACACAAATGTGTGCATCGCGCAGGTTTCAGGAAGCGCTGGTAGTGTTTTTGGTTTCACCGTGGCAGCAGTTGGCTTTGGGCTTTCTTTTGTAACTTTTGGAGCCTCTCTGGTAGTCGCTGCAGCAGGTATGGGAATTGCAACCGTCGGAGGATTGACGAATGCCGGATCTACACTTGCAAAGATCTTCATCGAAAGAGATACTTATAAAGAAGCACAGAACATCATCGATGACGACCGGAAGACGACCGAGAAGATCAAAGAACTACTGACTGAAATAGAAGAAAGCACAGTGGGAAAAGCATCTTGGCATGGTCTTCAAGCGGCAACCTCCGGTGCCTGTACAGTGTACAAATTTGTAGATGCAGGTTTCAAAGTAGGCGTCAGAGTGGCTTCTCCAGCTCTCGCCGAAGGCGGGGGAGCTTTATTTACGGGGCTGCGTGGATTTAGCAGAGTCGCTCATATTGGGGGATTCGTGGTCAATGCTGCTCTCCTTCCATATGACATTTACACTCTGGTTACAAATGCGTTGGAAATCGATGCCGCTCGTAAAGGCGAGAATGATAAAGAGCCAGAAGCAGTGAAAAAGTTGAGGCAGCTTGCCGATGATTTAGAAAAGGATATGCCACCCGATGAAAATCATTTAGCCAGCAAATTAGATGAATTCATCACCGTTCTTCAATCGAAGTGAATTGAGAATCAGGATATGTAACGAGTGTAAAATCTTCAGCTGTCCCCTTCAGCTTAACTAGAAAATGGTAATTAAACCACAGACTTGGAGAGATTTGATTTGATTTACACTGTCTCAAAATCCAGTGGGTAAACCTGGGTGACCGTTTGCGTTCAGGAGCCATTGATATGTTATAGAAAACCCTTGTTTTGTAAACGCAGTGAAACTGCGATAGATTAGTATTTTACCATAATTGGAGCAAACCAGTTCGTACATATATACTGAATGTGATGATTCTATCGTAAACGATGTTACCTCAGCGAAAGAGCTTCTTATAACCGGTTATTGTTCTCGTTATATGATCTCAAGTCAAATTACCGACAGTAAGTGACCGTATTTAATTAACGTGTCAAATGTCTACGAACTTTCTCGAACTTGCGATAAGCCTATCGAAACACATGAAAGATACACGTTGTAATGTACTCTCAATAGGCGGAACTCTTGTGTAAAGTTCATTGTAAGCTT